TTTTCTAGTTATCTCTTTTTGTGTTCTTGCTTATTCTGCCACCTGAGAACATACTTTTTATGATTTCTGTCCTTTGATATTTCTCTTTTTTTTTTTTTTTAAGATTTTACTTATTTATTAGAGAGAGCGTGCAGCAGAGGGAGAGGGAGAAGCAGGCTTCATGCCGAGCAGGGAGCCCGATGTGGGGCTCGATCTCAGGACCCTGGGATCATGACCTGAGCCAAAGACAGACGCTTAATGACTGAGCCACCCAGGTGCCCCTAATCATTCTTCTTCATAAAGTGCATTTTTGAGAACTCAATCATTTGAGTCCCTTTTGGGTCTGTTTTTGTTGTCTGCTCTGTCCCTTGATTTTTGATCACATTATCTTGTCTTCTCATTTACTTAGTCATTGTGAGTGCTGGAGACTTTAAATGAGCAGTTGTAGAGAATTTAAAAGCTAGAATAACGATATTTTGGAGGATTTACATTTGTTTCTGGGCGATGGCTAGCGGAATTGGTGATCCTGGATCATTTGAATAAAATCAGGGATTAAGATGGGCTTGAGTCCATGTGTGATGCAGACTATTTTCTATTTTATTTACTTCTAGTGTATGATATTGCAGAGGCCCAGTCCCCAGTGTGGGGGATTCAGCAGGCCTTCTTTGCTTGGTGAACTTCAGTTTTTGACCCCTGTGTCCTGAGTGCCTGCTTAAAGTTACTCTGTCCAGTTCCTACTAGTGGCTTCTCCTGGATTTGGAGGATGCACCTAGGGGAAATACGGCCTCTAGTGCCCAGTTTCCTTTATCTTGCAGATCTTGACTGCACAGTTCTTTAGTGTCCAGGAGTAGTTTTTTTTCCCCTACATTTTGTAGGAATTTCTTTTTTAATTGTTTTTCCCAGGAAGGCTTTTTGAATTTACTTACTTTTCATACTGGTAAGTGGAACTTAAGTATTTTGTAAAAGTTCCTCTAGTGAATTGGTGGCAGCTAGGGTTGCTAGTTATTGCCCCTCCTTGTCTTCTGTTATCATCCCCTTCTTTTTTAGGCTACTCCAACCACTCAGTCCTTTATGGTATTTCTCAGCATGTTCCTATCTTAACACCTGTGTATTTGCTGTTTTCTCTGCCTGGGGTTCTTCCCCAAATTGCTGAATGGCTCACTCTGTTATTTTCATCAGGTCTTCATCAGAGGGTCACTTTATCAGTGATGAGCACCATGTACAAAATAGCAACACTTCCACCCCCTCAAGTCTCATATTTTTCTCCCATTTGCTGACCATCATATGACATGTAATTAGTTTCCATCTCTGTGCCTAAACTCCAGGAGACATTGTCTTGTTCTGTTACATGTCCAGCACCTAAAATTGTCCTCAGTTAGGGGCATCTAAGTGGCTTAGTCGGTTGAGTGTCTGACTCTCAGTTTCGACTCAGGTCATGAGGTCCGGGTCATGAGATCAAGCCCTTTGTCAGGTTCTGCGCTAGGAGTGGAACTTGCTTAAGATTCTCTCTCCCCACAACCCCCTCTCTCTTTAAAAAGGAAAAAAGAAAGGAAATGCTCAATTAATATTTATTGTTGAATGAATATAAGTATGAAATTATGATTTAAGTATGGGTTTCATAGGTGCTTGTGATGATTAAATAAGTTAATCCATTTAAGTGATGACATTTACAGTTAAGGTATTAAGCACAGTGCCAGGCATATGGTAAGTTCATATATTCTTTTTCTTTTTTTTTTTTTTTTAAATTTATTTTAATTTTTTTTCCCAGTGTTCCAAAATGCATTGTTTATGCACCACACCCAGTGCTTCATGCAATATGTGCCCTCCTTAATATCCACCACCAGGCTCACCCATACATATTATTTTTCAAAACTGTTGCCTCTCAAATGATGACTTCTCATTTCTAGACATTATATATGAGATTGAAAACTTATTGGCTTTTTGTGAAGCAAGCCTATTTTTTTGTTCACATTACTATTATGATTAACACCAGATTTTACAACCCTGGGGCTGGGATGGTAGAATGAAGCTTATTAATCTGTGGAACTCTCTTTAGGTAGCTGCAGGATTTAGAGAATAGATCTGCGTGTTTAAGCCAGTTTGTGATTTCCAGGCAATCAGGAAGCAGCTTTTAATGTAACTTAATGAGTAAGAGAGTGATCGAATAGACATCATTCCTTTTTAACTTTTATCTTATAAGAACTCCATTCTGGGAGACTGGCACGCTCACAGTTTTATGTAACGCAAGTGAAATATGATACTAAGCAGTTACAAGCAAATATTGTTCTTGTCAAAGAGAACATCAAGATTGATTGACCTGAGTGATAAGTATTGACTCAAGCAAATGCTGAAGTCAGTGTTTACCACAAGGGACAGTAAATCTTGATGATCAGAGAATATATAGTTAATCTCAGTATAATTACAGAGTTTCACTAGAAGTATCTGGAAATCTTGTGGAATGAATCTCTTGAGTATAACTTTCCTTTTGGAAAAATCCAGCAATGAACTTTTAAGTTGAAGACACAGAGTTCTTTAAAGTCCTTACACATACTGATGAGCTTTTCCTTGATTGTTTTGAACTTGGACAGCCAAGTTCCTCCCTTATGCCTGACAGTGTGATTAGCTAGCTGCTTTGTTCAAGAAATTGGTAATCAGTTAAGTTAGTTTTTTTTTCCATACCCGTTATATCATTTATAAGTCCTCATGTTAGTTTATAAAATAAAAGAGGAGAAAGTATCTTTGATGTTCACCAAGTGTAGTGGAAATACAACATCTCTGTATTTGAAGTAGGCAATGGCACAAGACTGCACGTGACAGTGTTTCTGAGAACATAGAAATTATTTTAAAAAGTTGAGATGAGAGGAAAGTTGAAGATGGACTGTAAATAAAATCTTTTTTTTTGAAGTTTTAATTTTAATTATAGTTAGTTAATTTACAGTGTTATATTTTAGGTATAAAATATAATGATTCAGCAGTTCTGTACATTACCTGGTACTTGTCATGACAAATGCACTCCTTAGTCCCCTTCATCCATTTACTCAACCCTCACCCCACCTCCCTTCTGTTAACCATCACTTTGTTCTCTATAATTAAGAGTCTGTTTCTTGATCTCTTTCTTTCTCTCCTTTTCTCTCTCTCCTTTTCCCCCTTTGCTCATTTGTTTTGTTTCTTAAATTCCATGTGTGAATGAAATCACCTGGTGTTTGTCTTTCTCTGATTGACTTATCACTTAGCATTCTACTTTCTAGCTCTACCCGTGTCATTGCAAATGGCAAGATTTCATCCTTTTTTTTAATGACTGAATAATATTCCAGGGTGTGTGTGTATATAAAATAAAGAATGAGATATACCATATGTTTATCTTCACACACACCACATCTTTACCCATTCATCTGTTGGTGGACACTTGGGTTGCTTCCATATCTTAGCTGTTGTGAGTCAGGCTGCTGTAAAACATCAGGGTGCTTCTGTCTCTTTGAATTAGTGTTTTTGTATTCTTTCGGTAACCTGGTAGCATGATTGCTGGATCAGAGGGTAGTTTTATATTTATAACTTTTTGAAGAACCTCCATACTGTTTTCCATGGTGGCTGCATGAGTTTGCATTCCCCCCAGTGGTGCAGAGGGCTCCTTTTTCTCCACATCCTCACCAACACTCTTGTGTTTTTTGATTTTAGCCATACTGTTAGGTGTATGGTCATAGCTTGTTGTAGTTTTGATTTGCATTTCCCCAATGACTGGTGCTATTGAGATTCTTTTCATGTGTCTGTTAGCCATCTGTGTGTGTTCTTTGGAGAAATGTCTTCTGTCCACTGTTGGTTTTTTTTTTTTTTTTTTTTTAAGAGTAATCTCTACACCCACCGTGGGGCTTGAACTCACAGCTCTGAGATTGAGTCACATGCTCCACGGACTGAACCAATCAGGCACCCCTGTCCATTTTTAAATTGGATTATTTGGTTTTTGAGTTTTGAATTGTGTTAATTCTTTATATATTTTGGATACTAACCCTTTATTGGATAGGTCATTTGCAAATATCTTCTCCCATTCCATAGGTTGCCTTTTAGTTTTGTTGTTTCTTTTGCTGTGCAGAAGCTTTTTATTTTAATGTAATCCCAATAGTTCATTTTTGTTTTTGTTTCCCTTGTCTCAGGAGACGTATCTAGGAAAAAGTTGCTGTGGCCGGTGTCAAAGAGATTATTGCCTGTGTTCTCTTCTAGGGTTTTTATGGTTTAAGGTCTCACATTTATGTCTTTAATCCATTTTGAATTTGTTTTTATGTATGGTATAAAAAAGTGTCCAGTTTCTTTTTTTTTGGTGTGGCTGTTTGGTTTTCCCAACACCATTTGTTGAAGAAACTGTCCTTTTCCCATTCTGTATTCTTTCCTGCTTTGTTGAAGATTAATTGAACATATAGGTGTAGGTTTATTTCTGGGTTTTCTTTCTATTTTGTTCCATTGATCTGTGTGTTTATTTTTGTGCCAGTACCACATTACTTTGATTATGTAAATAAAATCTTGAGTAGGATTTGAGTAGGCAGACAAAAGAATGGTTTGTAGTATGAGAATTAGAGTCCCTAAAGAGTAAGATGTTAATATGTGGGCTTAAAAATTTATACAAATAATAAATTACAGACATATCTGAAAAGACATAAATAAAAATAAGTCAAGTCCTTCCCCCGAGATAACTGCCTTTAACATTTTGATATATATCTTTCTAGATTTTTTTTCTGTTCATGCATATACAGGTGTAAAAAATGCAAAGATATTTGTGCAAATGTTTGTTAGTACATGTGAATAAATAGGAAAATAAATACTGATATAAAGGGATAGTATTTATTTCATAAAGATTCACTTATGAATTTTTGCTATTATAAAATTATATATGTGGTAATTTAATTTATCAGTGAAAATACTGTGGTCTTTGTTATTCCTAAGATTTTCCTTCCTGAACATATTAGCTACATTTGGCAGAGTAAGTACACACATTGTTTTGATTGATAATGAATCTCTCATAATTTTTTTAGGTGCTGGGTCTTCAGCTCTGAAGAGGCCATTTGAAGATGGATTAGGGGATGATAAAGATCCCAATAAGAAGATGAAACGAAACTTACGGAAAAGTATATAAAACCTTTCTTCTTAGAGATGTGAAAAGATCTGTAGTCTCAGATAGAAAAATAAAAATTACAAAGTGACAAATTTGATTTGGAGTTTTAAGAATATATCTTAACTGAGAGATTGATGATTAGATAACTTTATATTCTTTTCAGGCTTCATTGCTTCAGATATAGTAGTATTGACAAACTAAAATTGATGCTATAGTAGTTCATATCACTTGTACAATGAAATGTTAGTATAATTAAAGTGATTTTACAATTACTTATGAAGTGAAAATAATTTGTATATGTGTTTTCAAATTCTTGTTTTTTAAAGCCTGGTGAATTTATAGTGGTCACTTAGAATCTACAGATGCATAGATTAAAAACAAAATGGTTTAATTTCTTATCTCATTTTTTTTTGTTTTGTTTTTGTTTTAAACAGTTCTGGATAGTAAAGCAATAGACCTTATGAACGCACTAATGAGACTAAATCAGATCAGGCCTGGGCTTCAGTATAAGCTCTTGTCTCAATCTGGCCCTGTCCACGCCCCAGTCTTCACAATGTCTGTAGATGTGGACGGTACAACATATGAAGCCTCAGGACCATCCAAGAAAACAGCAAAACTTCATGTAGCAGTGAAGGTACAGTATTGCTTTTATTTAGCAGGGTTTTGTTATTTTATGTTGTAAATTAGGTGCTTATTTTTCGAAAATAACAGAATTTTTAAAGATTTTAATGATAATGATTTGAAGATTTTTGTCCCCTCTAGATTATAAAATTTTTCTTTTTTGGTCATGAAATAATATGTATTGATTATATAGAATTTGGGAAATGCAGAGAAAAGTAAAGACAAAAACCATGGGGCAGATCATTAATATTTACATATAGGATGTTTGTTTAGGTTGAGCTCACAGTGTATATAATTTATCCTCTGATTTTTTTTTTTCATTTACTGTATCATCAGTGTTTTCTCATATTATTAGAATGTTCACAAATAATTTTTAATGGCTGTATGATTAACGTGATATGGGTATACTATTATTTGTTTAGACATTTTACTATTCATTGAATATTTTGCTGTTTGTAGACTTTTCCGGTCATAAATAAATTTAATTATCTTCATGCATTTGGTGCCTTTACTGTATTTCAGAGTACTTCTATAGGGCATACAGTCCCGGATTAAATCAACCAATCATGGTTGTTTATAGGTTTGTAGAAAGTCCCTAAATCCTGGAATTTTAATACACTTGTTCTCTTATAGACAAATGTAGAAATGTCAAAGATCAATTTTAATTTAAGAAAAGTTCTGTTATGTAACAGTATAGCATAAGATAGAATTGGTCTGTTTTCATGATCATTCCATTTTGTAAGGATTATTAACATAGATGTGAACATTATCCTAGATTCTAAGGATACAGTAGTGAATAAAACAAATCCCTTAGCCTCCTAGAGCCTGCGTTCTAGTGTGGAAAGGATTGGAGACAGACAACAAATATACAAATGAATAAATGATAAGGCAGGTAGTAATAAGTGCACAGTGTAGGAAAATAATAACTAAACTGTAAACATATAAAACAACATACTATTTATGTTGTGTCTTGTTTATAAAAGGGGCACTTCAAGTATGATGAAATAGTATGAGTTTAAAATGAGGCAGAAAAAAATGAATCCAGGAATAAAGCTAAAAATACAGTTCAATAACTTAGCTGTAATGTATGCTGAGACTGAGTCACAAATTCAGATCTCAGTTCTCTAGGATCTGACTCAAAAAGCTTGTGAAATATCCCTTCACAGTGGCATAAAAACAGGCGTAAGAACAGTTGATTATGAGAATCGTAGTTGTTTTGGTGTAGAGGTCAAGTGGGCATTCTCCTTGAGTGGGTCTTCATAAAAAAGGATTGCATGACATCCTTTAACATCATATGTGATTCAGTGACCATTTGTGGGTTATTATAATTGCCTTTAGTGTAAGCTGGCGGCCTCACATCAACTTTCAATTCAGTAAAATTTGGGGACTAAGAATAGCAGATTTTATAATATGACAGGACTTAGATGCTATTTGTTCTCATAACTACTATTAACATTTTGGCATGTACTTTTCCAAGCACCCCGCCCCCCCCGCCACCTTTTTTAACCTGCAGTTCCAAAACCCAGGATGCGCTGAAAATGAAAAATAATTTCCGAGGTTTGATGAAAACTCACTTGATGGGAAAACCTGACCTGAATTGATAGAGAACTACTTTTAGTCTTCATTATTCCATTTAGTGTGAATATTTTATATGTTCCTTTGCACAAACATGGATAGCATCTGAACTCAACTGGGGATTCAGAAAATATATAGTAAATATTTTGTATTAGCTTTCTAAACTCTGAAAAACTATGAATTCCCAAAACAATCTGGCCCCAAGCCTTTTAGATAAGGAGTGGTGGGACCTACGTAGTGTGTATACACCTTTGTGTATACAAAATATATAATTAAAACAAATATTATTTTTGTTCATCTAAGATAGGAGGTTTTTTTATAGTTATCACAAAGATTGTTCTCCTTTTTAGTGATGGCCTGATATTTGTTTATTTTCAATCTACTGTAATGTAACTGATGATTTTAGATTTAGATGCTTCCAGTTGGTGCTTTATATCTTTAAATGTAAACTAGTCTAATTATCCCTTAAGATACATTCTAGGAGCACCTGGCTGGCTCTGTTGGTATAACATGCGAATATTGATCTCAGGGTTGTGAGTTCAAGCCCCATGTTGGGTGTAGAGTTTACGTTAAAAAAACAAAAGAAACAATTAAGGATACATTCCAGAATGAAATTTCTAGATTAAGAAGAGGGCGTATTTGAATGATCCATTAATTCACTAAATAGGTATTGGGCTTTCCATTATATGTTAGGCATATATGTATATTGCCAACTTGCCATTTATATACAAGTTTCAACTTCTCTTTTACAAATGAATTTGAGAGTGTTTTATATCTAATATGTGTTTATGAAAGTAGATCCTGCTAGATAAAAATCCTTAGATTTCTTACTACTAAGTAAGCTTGGTAGGAGGCCTTACCTGTCATGACAAATCACACCAGAGAATCAAATGAAAGCAAAATACGAAAAAGTGGTTCCTGCCACAGGAGCCTGGCCAGCCAGCAGCAGACACCCTGAAGTGATGGGGATCTGTTGCCAATCTTTGATTTCCTCTTCCAGTGTTCTTTTTTCCAATAGTCCCTCACAAAGAACATAATCAGCCATATTCCATGAAAAGAATCTTAGTCATTGTGGAGAAAAGGTCAGCTAGAAGAGGGCAGGGAGTGAAGGCTCTTTGGGAGAGGTTCTAGCAGCCCTCAGCTCTCCACCATCAAGGAGCCGTGAATAGGACTTTTTTTTTTTTTTTAAAGATTTTATTTATTCATTTGACAGAGATTACAAGTAGGCAGAGAGGCAGGCAGAGAGAGAGGAGGAAGCAGGCTCCCCGCTGAGCAGAGAGCCCGATGTGGGGCTCGATCCCAGGACCCTGGGATCATGACCTGAGCCGAAGGCAGAGGCTTTAACCCACTGAGCCACCCAGGCGCCCCTAGGACTTTCTTTTGAGTGGAGAGCCATAGAGTACAGTTTGTTTTCATGTGTTTTCTTTTCACTTTTGTCCTGTACTCTTTGAGGTTATCAGCTTTCCCAGCCTTAACCACCTTCTAGGGGGGGAGAAGAGGCATCGTTACACTGATTTCCCGGTCACCTTGTTTCCAGGAATAATCTTGTGATTTTTCAGCCCAATTAATATGTTTATTAGATTTGATTTGTTCACCGGACACTTGAAGCTCACTTTGTTGATATATCAATTTTTTGACTTCAGTATTGATTCCAAGCAAACTTCGGTTTTAGAGGTCTGAGAACTCATTACTTTTATTATTATTTTTTTAACTTTTGTAGCGTATACTAGCTAATAATAGGAAAATGATGTAATTTGACATTTTTTGTTAGTTGGTCAGTATTGCAAATACACTGTATCCCTTGAGATTTTCCATCAGTTTTATAAACTATAGTGTAGTGAAGTATGTTGCTACAATAACAAATAAATGAATATGATATGTGAGAAAAGCACAGGGAGAAGTGGTGTTAAGTAGCCACCTTAGACTAATTGTAACTGTCTATGTTAAATTTGGAAAAGCTGCATGTCTTTAGTTTTTACTGGAATAAACAAATCAAATTTATTTGTGACTCTTGACTTTTAGCCTGTATTAGCTTGTGTTCATTCCAAACTGATAACTGTTCTTTCAGAGATGAGATTTTTCAGGGAGAGCATATTTACAGGACTCATACAGTGGAGGTGTTTTCTTTATAAAATATTGATGAGGATAAACCAAATGATATTGATATACTTAGTTTTATCATACTACCTGAGAACTTCTAAAACTTAAGATATTGAAAAGACGTTCTTGGCTTTCTTCCAGTGATTACAAAGAATTGACTTGTGATTTGAAATGTTCAATAGAATGCCAGAGTTTCCTTATGAATTGGGTGAATTAATTTCAAATTCTCTTGGTACAGAGTTCTACTTATGTCCGTTTTTTTACCAATGTACTATTTTATTTATATTGGCAGAATCCATTATAGAAGATGCCATTGTTTATAAACTTTGGGTTGCCTGGTCTCTCATTTGTGGGACTATCATAACTGTTTTTTGAGACACTAAGTATAGTTGGAATAGTAAAGAAATATAACATTGCTTTTACATTCTAGCACTTAAAACATTAGTCAAAAGCTGAAAACATACAGAGATGTTTAGGAACCTATCCATATGTTTTGATATAAACCTTTAAATTAGTAACTGACAGTGCAATATTGGCCTATTTGAAAGAGGCTTTTAAAAATGGTAGAATGTATTTTCTTGTAAACCTCTAAAAAGCTGTATAACCTGGCAGGAGATACTAAAAGCCATGCTTACATGTGTGTATGCTCATGGGCACGTGCATGCCTCCAGAGACACACACACACACACACAAACACACACACACACACACACATTCAGATAACTTTATTTAAAAAATAAGAAATGCCAGGCATTAAATGGTAATATAAGAAGAATGGACATTAGGGACGCCTGTGTGGCTCAAGTGGGTTAAGCCACTGCCTTCAGCTCAGGTCATGACGTCAGGGTCCTGGGATCGAGACCCGCATCGGGCTCTCTGCTCAGCAGGGAGCCTGCTTTCCCCTCTCTCTCTGCCTGCCTCTCTGCGTACTTGTGATCTCTCTCTCTCTCTCTCTCTGTCAAATAAATAAATCTATCTATCTATCTATCTATCTAAAAAAAAAAAGAAGAAGAAGAAGAATGGACATTGGAGGAAGCCATAATGTAACTAGACCTTGAGGGGCAGGGTCAGAAATTTGCTATACACCTAGTATAGCAAATAAATCTTGAGGCTGAATCCTTTCTTTCAAGTATTGATTATGGTTTAAATTGAAAGCAAAGAGGTCAGTAGTAGAAAGCTTCAGATATTATATCATTGACAGGCAAACTGGTTCCAACATGAAGACTTCTTGATTCCCTCTCTGTGCTGATTTCCCCTTATGGATCGAATCATAGAATTTAGAGGTCAGCTAATCAGTCTTCCGGTTTCCCAGATTGGAAAATTGAGGACAAGAGGAGAAATGTAGGATTAGAGTGCCAGGTCTTCTCCTTTATAGTTCTTTGTACTTTTTCATTATGTTGTTTTACTTTTCCCCTCACCTCCTTGGTTGAAAGTGGCTATTCTGTTTCTCTATCCCCAGCCTTCAACTTAAATGACCCAGTAGTAGCCTCAGGTTTGCATTTCTCTAATCCTTTATTTAAACCTTATTACTCTGAGGATGTTTTCCCATTCTCTGTGGTGAACCTTCAGTAGGTAAACTTAGTTTAACCAGGGATTTGTAGGTTTAGGCACCCTCTCGCTCTTCCTGCAAGCTGATTCGTGCATTCAGATGTTATGGATTTGAAACTTGTATTCAGTATTTCATCTCTTCTCTGTGGTTTCTGATGTTTGAGTAAAACTGAATCTTACTGTAATTTGTACAGGTGTTACAAGCAATGGGATACCCAACGGGCTTTGACGCAGATATTGAATGTATGAGTTCCGATGAAAAATCAGATAATGAAGGCAAAAATGAAACAGTGTCTTCAAACTCAAGCAATAATACTGGAAATTCTACAACTGAAACCTCCAGTACCTTAGAGGTATATTTATATGTATTTTTTTCCTTAGAAAAAACTGTATTTAGATTGTAGGAAATTTGAGAGATGTGGAAAAGTGTAAAGAAGAAAATCAAAAGCTTATACAGATGTAAATATTCCAGAGGCAGCCATTATTAATATTTTGGTTTATTTTTATCCAGCCTTTTTGGGGGGGGGCAGTCATGCAGTTTTACATCATCTTTTTTTTTTTTCCACTTAACTTTAAAAAATCTGTTAACATAACTGTATAGTATACAACACATGAGTGTATTCTAATTTAACTAGCATTCTCCTTTTGCTGGCCATGGAAGTTCCTTCTAGTATTTCACAGTTAAAATATATCAACAATATCAACAATAACTAAACAGTGAAAAACCAGAAGGTCTAGCAGAGGGAATTTAGGATTATTTGAAGTTTGTGCCGAGCTCTGGGAGGCAGTGGGTCATCATGGAGCTGATATAGCCTTAAGGAAGGCATAGCCTGATCTAGCATGTTCCTCAGACTCTGAGTAAGTTCTAACAAATGAGCTTATTGCCACAGATAATAGAATGGGACAGAAATCTAAGTACTGACTAGACACAGCATTTTTGGAAATTCATGGAGCCCTTATTTACTGCATTCTGCATAAGGAATATTGGCTCTAAAGTAACAGCAAGAGGTTACATTAAGTTAAAAAATTTTCATTTGTGGGAATGAGTATTTATCAAACACTTAGTGGGCCATAACATTTTCAGTCTATAAACCTTTTGTAGTGCCTGCTATTGCCAGATGCTGCAGAAATTGCGTCCAGAGCCTTAAAACGTTCTCAGGCTAGAAACACAAAGGAGATATCCATAACTAATTATAATGTAATGTGATAAGTACTATGATGGAAAAGTGAACATAATAATGTAAAATCTCAAAAGAAGAATTGATCAGGAAACTCAGACACATGTAAATCAAAGGGAGTAAAATGTGAGTGAAGTTTGAGGTGATGTGTAGGATTTTGCTATGTGGAAAAGAGGTGGAAAGAAGGCATTTGGGGTCAAAGGAATAGGAGGTCTGATGACCTGGGGATTGTGGAAGTACAGGTTTGAGAGGTGCCAGGTGGGCCAGTGTGTGGGGAAAGATGGAGGCTGAGACCTATGGAAGCCTCGTCTGACTTTTTTTTTTAAAGATTTTATTTATTTATTTATACAGAGAGAGTGATCACAAGTAGGCAGAGAGGGCAGGCAGAGAGAGAGGGGGAAGCAGGCTCCCCGCTGAGCAGAGAGCCCGATGTGGGGCTCGATTCCAGGACCCTGAGATCATGTCCTGAGCCGAAGGCAGAGGCTCAACCCACTGAGCCACCCAGGTGCCCCTCGTCTGACTTTTCATGGGATACTGTGGAGGAAACTTGGCACCTGGCTTTTCAGAGGACCAGTCATTCACAGGTGATAGTCACAGGCAGGGCAAGATATTTTGCTGGCAGTGTTACAAATACTTAAAGAAGAAAGAGCTCATTAATTATGAGCTGAGACTGTTAAGTTCCGGGGAATTAGGGAGAGAGAGAGAGCAGTGTGGGCTGCACTGATAGCAGCCACGTGCATATATGGTGCCTTTGGTAGGAATACATATATGCTTCGTTTCTAAGTAATGTAGTAATGGCATGGAGGTTGGGGGAAAGAAATCCCTTATTCTTCATTTAAAATTAAAATATTAAAATGCAAATGTTTGTATGTCTTGACTCATTTTTATAAAAGTGATTTCAGATTTGGAAAGCAGAGTGATTACCAAAGAACTAGTTTCACAAATTACTCATTACCTTTTAAAGATGAAGACTAGAAATTTGCTTTGAAATTTTAAAAAATGTAGATTACAAAAACTCTTCAAGAAGTGAGGTTTTTTTTTTTTTTAAATTGCAGAAGACCTAGGCATGTTTATTAAATATGTCTTGAAAAGTCCAATGTTTCATTTCTTTCCCTACAGCATTAACCATTTATCAAATCAGCATAGAATAGTTTAAGAGAATCTTGCTGTCCATTGGGTTTGGATACATAATAATAGTTTGGGACATTCATTTCTTTCTTTTCTTTCTTTCTTTCTTTCTTTTTTTTAAGATTTTATTTATTTGCGGGGGAGAGAGATAGAGCATGGGCAGGGGGGAGGGGCAGAGGGAGAGGGAGACTTGCAGCTGAGCGGGGAGCTCCATCCCAGGACTCTGGGATCAGGACTGGAGCTGAAGGCAGCCACTTAACCACTGACTGAGCCACCCAGGTACCCCTAGGGCATTCATTTCTTTGTACGACATTTCTTGAGCAATTACTATGGTAGAATTAAAAACATGATCTCTGACCTCAAAAAGTGCTCAGTCTTTGGGTCTCTCCTTTCTCCAAATTATAGGTGCAGTATTTTGTGGTTTGTTTTATTTTTGGTGCTGCACTCTCTCGTCATTTGAGGCTTCACACTCTTAGATGAATTCCTTTTTTTTCCCTTACTCTAATCTTAATCCTTCCTCTAGTCAGTTCTTTCTGCCACTCCTGGCATGACTTTTCTATAACACAAATCTAATCCTGAATTTTCTAGATTAAAGTCCCTCTGTGGCTTCCCATAATTCATACAAAGGCAAAGCTCATTTGCATGGCATGCAGAGTCCTTTATGAATTGGCACCATCAAGGGCATTTCCTGTGCTTACTCCCTTATACAGCCAAACTGTGCTTCTTGCCATTGCCCGAACAGATGTTCTTTTCTTCTCTTGGGCCTTTCCATAGCTGTTTCTTCTGTCAAGAATGCCCTTCTCCTTAGTTTCCACCTTATCATGGTCTGTTGCTTACCTCTTAAAGTTTAAGCTCAGGTTTGAATGTCACTTCCAGGAAAACTATCCTGATTGCCCTAGAAAATGAGTGCTGCTTCTCTGTTTCCATAACATACATCTGTTCTATAAAATACACTGTTTTACAGTGATTATGTCTGTCCCTCCCACTATACTTTAGCTCCTTTGAGCAAGGAGTGACTGTTTTTATTCTTATTTTTAAATTTCAGAATCCAGAGTCTGTAGCCTACTGTTTTTACCTTAGGTGCCCGTAAGTCTCTTTTGAGAGAACTGAGAGCTGTGTAGGAACATTTTCTTCCCATCTCCCAAATTGAGTTATTTCTTCATAACCCTCAAGATGAAAATCAGTGAATACTCAGGTGTCATGTGAATCTCAACTGTTCTGTCCACTTTGTCAGTCATTTAAAGTATTATTCTTAGATCATGAACACCACAGAGTAGATCCTAGAGTACCGTGTAATGGCGAGGCCACATTGCTCTTGAACAGTGTTGAGACAGCCCTACTTTAGGGGCAGCCTGGCTGGATGACTGACAGCCATGTTTATTGCTTACGGAATTTCTATACCTTTAAAGATATTTTGTCATTTTGTATGTAGAGGTGATCACATCCTCGTCTATAAATGCTTTAAAGCGTAATTTTTGAGCCTCTTTTCAAGCAAAACATAGTATAATTAGATCAATAAGAAATTTAATACTTTAAAATCTTACTTGGTTGAACCTCCTTTTAGGTCAGAACTCAGGGCCCTATCCTCACAGCAAGTGGCAAAAATCCTGTCATGGAGCTCAATGAAAAAAGAAGAGGTCTTAAGTATGAACTCATCTCGGAGACTGGTGGAAGCCATGACAAACGCTTTGTAATGGAGGTGTGTACCTACATTCAAGCCCACCGTGCTTTCCCTCACAGACATAGGCTGTCCTTGGCTTATATGTAAAAAAGTTTTGTCTGAGTTAATTCTTGTGCCACTATTTGAGTTTTGGTGTTTTCTGTGTTGTGATACATTTAAATTAAAACTACACAGAGGAATTGCATGGGATAATTGCAGAGTGTTGTTCTTGATTTTAGGTAGAAGTAGATGGACAGAAATTCAGAGGTGCAGGTCCAAATAAGAAAGTGGCAAAGGCAAGTGCAGCTTTAGCTGCCCTGGAGAAGCTGTTTTCTGGACCCAATGCAGCAAATAATAAGAAAAAGAAGATTATCCCTCAGGTATGAGTTACCAAAAATAAATTTCCTTTTCTGTTCTTGGGGCCACTTTAGCTTTTTCTGAAGTTGTTTCTTTTTCTTGCATTTGGCATCCTTTTCTTTGGGTTAGATCATGAATACTGTAATATTCCCTGTTCTGTGGTCTTCATAGGCAAATTATATATTAAAAAGAAGGTATTAGCATTATTTGGGGGCTTTCAGTCACTCTTGGTCAGGTAGAGCCTTGAGGGATCTGGACTTGTAATGAGGTGTTAGCATTTGTTTAGGGAAACTGCCAAGAGTGTAGGGGCTTACTTTCATCAGAGTCTGAAGATGCACTTCCATTTCCTTTCCAGTTTTGTCCTTTTGCGTTATTTATTTTATGTTTTCCTTTGGGGGCGCCACAGTAAAACTTGACCTAATACATCTTCTGTTCATTCCTGACATGGGCATGTCAGTCCTGCTGAAGGCCCAGGACTGTAGAAAGTCTTTAGGAAAGATGGCCTCCTAATTACATGCTTTTGGACAACAGAGTCTTCATTCATTTATGCGTTCAAAAATATTTTCTAGTCGTATACTATGTGCATGATTATGAGGGCAAAAGAGATACATTGTTAAATATAAGATAGTTCTCTTCCTGGTGGAGAGTGCTGGGGCAGTAATGTCTGAATAGAGGATGTGATAGAAACGAGTTGGTTAAAAATGTTTAGACTAATAGAAGAAGATTACTTAAGATTCTGAATGAAACAGTTTGTTTAGTTTCTTTTACATAAGCTGAGTGCAACTCTGGCTAGAGTTGATCTTGTTTTATAGATGAGGAAATGAGGCCTGAAGAGATACAGACACTGCCCTTAGTACCACAGCTAACTGATGGTAGGGTCTCTTTCAGCTAGATTCTTCTCCTTCCAAAGACCATGGGCATTGCGTATTATAGCCATCTTAGACATTTGTCTTGTCTTGTACTTATTGTAATAAGCATTGTTTACATTCTAGGATTCAAAGTATAACCAAGGATGACTTTTACTGAGATGAAATACAAATGAAGCGTTTAAATTGCCCTGATACACATTCGGAGAGAGAAGAATTGGTTTATTTCCCTAAAACCTTCCAGGAAATGTGCTGAATTAGTAGAAAGATAATTGCTGACTTGTTTAGGTGTTTTTTACCATGAGTTACATCTTGTATTGGGTCAGTTAATGTTAGAGTTTAGAAAGTGAGTGCAAATACTTACTAGGTACTAGTTAAGTTTGGTTCTAGTAGACATGAGCTCGATTTGTGTGGAGTCTCTCTGCTCCCACCAGATTGTTACTTCCTGACTCCTTGGACTAAACTGTGTTTTAAAAAAAAAAAGTTACCTACATGAGGTTCACCTATTTTTAGAAATTTTCCATACTAGAACCTCTGAAACTCTTCTGTTCAATATGCTTGACAGCCAGGAGGCAGTCTGTTTTGGATGTGTGGGTTGCATTTTCTCCCCTCAGCCAAACAGAAAAATGGCTGTTCCCTGTACGTGATACATTTGACCTTGAAACGGTCTTCTCCCCAGTTATACTAGTGGTTGAGGTGGCGTTTCAGCATGAGATAAATGTGTGTATGCTCTGAATGTTTAAGCTGTTCGAGATACCGTTGACTTTATTCCACTTTGAGCTCTGAGGCTCTGCACCTTGGTTATAGGAGGGAATTCTGGTAGTTTTTTGTTTGAGTTTTTGTTGTGTCTTTTTTTTTTTTTTTTAAGATTTTGTTTATTTATTTGACAGAGAGAGACAGACAATGAGAGAGGGAACACAAGCAAAGGGACAGTGGGAGAGGGAGAAGCAGGCTTCCTGCAGAGCAGGGAGCCCACCTACGGGGCTCTATCCCAAGACCCTGGGATCATGACCTGAGCCAAAGGCAGACGCTTAATGACTGAGCCACCCACATGCCCCTGTTGTGTCTTTATATTAAAAAAATAAAACATTTCATTGAAAACTATGTGTTCTTGATTTTCTTAAAATTTCAGTTTTGGAAAGGGATGTTTTAGCAGCCCTCTGTTCTGTTTGTCCTTATCTAGTCTGCTTTTCAGAGTTTGCTGTTTTCTCAACGGCCTTTTCTCCTCTGAAGTAAAACAAAGTGGATATCATTATCCTCATTGTATAATTAGTGGTAGACTCTGATAGACATAGAGATTTATGATTTTACCAGAGTCCCATGGCATTATCCTCATTGTATAATTAGTGGTAGACTCTGATAGACATAGAGATTTATGATTTTACCAGAGTCCCATGGCATTTTAGAGCAAGAGGGCACTTTAAAGGCAGTATTTATTTCATGATTGGTACATGTATATACACACACATAAAGCAGGAGATGTAGACACAAATCACATGACTTTCCTGGAGTTTTCATTTTTGGTCTTCCTTCATAGTTTTGTTTTTTTTGTTTTTTTTTTGTTTTTTTTTTTTTAAACTCCACTCAGGTTCACAGATAATTCTTGGTGGTTGGTTGTGTAGTTTTTGTCTCTGGAAGGAGAATTCAGTGGAAACCTGGGTATCAAGTGTCTGTGATTACTTTAGTTAGGCCTGAAATACAACGGATGTAATTTGACTACTGAAATTTGTGTGTAGAAAATGAACTCTTTCTGAGTAACCCTCAAGTGAAAGAAGAAGTTATTTGCATACTTTTATGTGTCCGAATATTCTTCAGAACAGCTCGGTAAAGTAGGTGTCATTTTTATTTTACAGATGATAAATTAAAGGTTCAAGGTCATAGATGACTCACTGACTCATCTACAGACTCAAGTTTCTCATAGAGGTTGTGCATTAGAGGGATGGTGGGATGTTAGTTCTTATTTCTCTCAGTAATGAAAATCTGTTATTTTTAACAGGCAAAGGGTGTTGTGAATACAGCTGTGTCTGCAGCCGTCCAAGCTGTTCGGGGCAGAGGAAGAGGAACTCTAACAAGGGGAGCTTTTGTTGGGGCTACAGCTGCTCCTGGCTACATAGCTCCAGGTAGAGTATAGCCTGTAAGAGGTCTGCCTCCTCGTCAGGGCCAGACTTTGAAGAACAGCATGTCTTTTCTTCTCCAGGGTTATACACGATCCCTGGAAACATAACATAGGTGTAAGATGTGTGTGCATGGACGTTGAGAAGAAGAGAATCTACAGCATTTCACAGAGTCCAGGTTTTCTCCTGGAATCTGCTCAGTGACTGGAGGCATCCTGGAGGGAGGTGACAGAGGAGGAATATTACACTTGGTTGAGGGGACATATTTTGACAATGAGGAAGCTAATACTCCGCAGATTGAGGAGCGCACACGTGCGAGCGGGGCGCATTCAGCGGGACATAGAGGGTGGGTGGGTGTGACAGGAGTGGAAGACTGCTGCGGAGAGACTCCTTCATTGGGGTGTAGCCTAGCATTAACAGCGTTTCTTTAACTCGGTGTGTGGGATCCAGCGAAGGTCTACGGAAGTGTAAAAAAAGAAAAAGGGAAACTTATTTATCCAGAGCTTACTCTACAACAGATACTTTGGCATATATGATTTCACTTAATTGTTTTTTAATCTTCACAGTGTTTCCTCAAGTAGAAGTTATTTCCATTTTCTAGGTGAGGGAACTAAGGTCTAATGAGAGAAGGCAACTAGCTCAGTCTGAGACATAGCAAACAGCAGAGCAGAGATTTGAATGTAGGTGTTTGCAGTTCTAGAGCTTATATTCTTTCCATTTCACCACATGGCTTGAAGGAGATGGGAAAAGATGCCCTCCTTCTGCCTTCTGTTCTAATACTTACGTCATTTCAGCAGTAGGTGTAGAACTGTCTCATTAAAGTCAGGTTGTCTGCCATATTGAACGTATGGAACTTTTCACTTAGCAAGTAGACTGCTTATAATTGTTGATCGGGACGAAATTCTCTGAAGGATTGGATCTTATCCCATCATTATTTTTTTATGTAACATTGCTAAGAAGTTCACTTAGATTGTGTCTGTGTTTTCTTCTTCCTCCCTCCCTCCTTCTCTTTCTTTAAGAAAGAGTTAGAATAGGCTATTTGGGAAGTTCTGTGGGTTATATGGTTTTGGAATTAAGCTTGTAGGAGTTGATCCCTCAAAGATACGTCATATAATGAATATATTCGCTCATTGAAGTACATGTGCCTGCTTTGGGATTTTACTGTTGTGCAGCTTATGATCTAAAGGTGAGACAGGCTGATCATATAGTCACAATTATCAACTGAGAAGGTCGTGATGAAGGACAAGGGTATGTTCTGTGAGAGAATTTAACAGAGAAACTGGGTCTAGGCTTTGGGGCCTGAAGGCCTCCCCCAAGGAAGCGTCACCTGACCTGAGCTTTAGAGAATGAGGAGGCATTAACCTGGAGAAGACCAGGCTGGACAAGTGTTGTACACATAGGAAGCACATTGCTGGGCCAGGGAACTTACGGATGAGAAGGATTAGAGGAAGGCCAAATGTCTTCTAGTGTGGGAGAGCACTGTGTGTTTTGGGTGGGGGCTGGTGAGGAGAGAATGACAAGGACAGGGAGTGATTCGAGCTGAAGCTAGACACTCAACCCAGTCCTAGAGGCCAAGGTGTGGGTTTTGGCCTTAGAATGCTAAGTGTAGTGGAAGGTCGTGAAGAGTTCTAAGGGGAGAGATGACAACATCAGACTTTCCTGTAAAGAGCATCATCAATAGTTTGAAGAATGGATTGTAGTTACAGAAGTAGATGTGAGAAGACAAGTTAGAAGGTCCGGCCAGAGACCGTGCAGGTATCCCCAGGTGTGCAGGGAAGCAGATGGGCGGCAAGAAGCGACCACATTAAAGACAGACTGAGAAGCACAATTAATGGATTTCATGTGGAGAATGAAAAGGAGGGAGGTTTCAAGGATTTCTCCCAGCTTTTTCAGCAAGAGGAACTGGGTCAATGACTGTGCTGTTTAAGGAGATGGAGAATGCTGAAGGATGAGAAGGTGGGAAGGAGATGGGAGAGGAAAAGGTTCATTGTGGTTTGATTCTGTTTATAGGTCCCAAATTAAGACACTGTTCTATGCATTTCACTGTTTCTACTGATATTGAATATTCTTTTGCCTTGTTCGATCATTATTTCAAGAAAGCAGCTTGTATTAATAATAGGCAAGTTATTGAGATGAACTTTCTTGCCTTTGATTACATGTTCATCGGGGGCTTCCTCTGTCTGAGAGCACCAGCAGTCACCTGGTCATGGACGCTTACCTCCCACCCATCATCTAGGGGCAGTCATTGGGAAAGGCTGTGTGTGTGTGTGCGCGCGCGGATGCTAATCTATAGCAGCTTTTCTCTTATGTCATCGCATTGACCTCTGTGAAAGGCCTATCTTGTGAAGCTTTTAAAAATGAAGTTCTTTTATAGCCCAGAGAAGATTCAGATTAGGTCAGTTAGATTATGGATAGGTTATATGCCATTTGCGGAGTGTATTCTGTGCAGCAGGGACTGTAGTAAGTATTTTTACATACATTATTTAATTACATTCCCCTGCCAACTCAGTTACAGAGTGGTGACATAACAGGCACAAAGTCACCTTGCCGAGTGATAGTGAAGTCGGGGTTCAAACAGCCTGATCAGTGGCCAGCTTAGTGGTTGTAGTTTACTCTCTCTTTAAGGAGGTTTTGGTAAAATCCTTAAAACTGTAACCTTAGTCATCCAGCTGGCTACCTTTTCCTGGAATAGATGTGATATGCAAACTTTTTAAAGTATTAATTTCTCTCTTGGCCTCAGTTCCTACTGCATATTTCCTGCTTCTTTTAGCTGCATCATATCCTCTTGAAATCTAGGATTTAGGGAGCACAAAAGACTCCAATTAAGACCAAAGACTAAGGCTACATTGTATTATCCCTAGTTTTATGTGACTTAAGTATAGACTAAAAAGTGAAAATTTCCATCTCAGGAAATGTTTTCGTTAGTCCCTGAAAACAGTTTACTTATTCAGCATACATTTGAGTGTTTTGCTTCAAGCAAGAGATTTGGGCCGGGGCATTTGAAGATGACTAGTATGTGCGCTGCTGAATGCTTGGAAAGTCATATGGGTTAGGAACGAACGTTTGCATCAACACTGTGCGCTGTGATGCAAGCTGTAACGTTGCAGGGGGAGGGGCGCAAAGGAGCAAACAGCAAACCCAGGAGACTTCATAGAGGAGGTGATACTTGGTCCTGATCTACAGGCTGTGTTGCAGTTGGGCAGCTAGAGAAGAAGAAAAAAATCCTTGCAAGCAGCAGAAAGGATTATAGAAAAAGGGCTTGTAATGTTAAAAAGGCTTGATTTGTTTTAGGTACAGTGTGAAGGGCCCATGTAGATTTTGTTCTGTTTTAGAACCCAATTTTCCCTAAAGATTTACCCAAGCAATTTAGTATTTATATTTTTAAAGTTGTTTTATTGAAAGATTAAACATTATGGCTTCTATTAGCACAGTATTTCTAATCCCTACAACACTAGATAAAGTAGCTTGGAAGAGTTTTCATTTTATAGGCATGAAAAGGCAACTCAGAAATTACATGTTTAAGGACATATAAGAAACCAGTTCCAGAACAGATTGGCTCAAAAGCTTCACTGTTCTTCAGATGGACAATATGAGCCTTTTTCATAGGCAGCAGAGGTTAATGTCAGTTTGGCCAACTTTATTGAGAGACTGAGCTGGGATCAGGAAGTCAGATACCAGGAGACATGGACCTTGTCCCCAAGCCCACAAGCTGATCCACATTCCCGTTCAGCAGCACTTGAGGCCTCAGCCTGTCCTGTCACTGTTTTCTGAAGAGACCTGGGAAGTTCTGCTTTCCAACTTTAAAGAAATTGGTTAACTTGAGTGATTCTAAGTTCAGGGAGAGGAGACAGATTTGTTCAACAGATTATATTTAGTGAGTGGTTACTATGTGCCAGACCTTCTGCTAAGTTGACATGGTAAAAAAAAATGTCTAAGACTTGGTGTTTGTCACTCGAGTAGGGACACAGACAAGGAGTCGATAATTATAGCACAGTGTCATAAGTGCATGGAGAAAGACAGGATATTCTGGTAGGTCAGGAGAACCTTCTAGGTCATGGGGAAAAGCTTCCATGCTAAGCAGGAATGGAGGGTTTGGCCATTCTGGGAATAGTTCTCATTCATCCAACATCTGGAAGAAGTCCTCAGGGCCCAAGGCGCTGGGCCAGGCAGTACTTGTGAATGGGGCGAGTACCGATTGGTTGCCCTTTGCTCTGAACTGATCGGCTTTCTTCTTCTTTGCACTAGGCTATGGAGCACCGTATGGTTACAGCACAGCTGCCCCTGCCTATGGTATGTACACTGTCTTTCTTATTTCTCCTCTTAGCAATGCTGTCACAGCAATCTAAAGCACAGTTTGTGTCCAGGGTTTCTTTAAATGAATCGGAGGATCTCAGACCTGTTCATTCTAGTGACCCAACTTAAATTCCCTTTGAAAACGCCACAACCTTGTGGTTCTTGGTTTGGTTGGAGTTGCTCTTCTCTCTGCTTTGCCTGATTGAAGGACTGCTTGTTCTAATTGCCTGTTTCTGACCATATTGAAATTAAATATTTTAAGTAGTTCTTCTTACAGCCAACTGATACTCCATTCAAAGGCTACTGAAGGGCCATACCCGGTTTCCAGCTTGACTGCTCGCCGGTTACCTGGCTGCATTGAAGTTTCTGGCTTGAAACTGTCTGGGTGACTTGAGTTAGGGTTAGGAAATATTCACTTCAAATTTGTAGCCATCGTCCTTTTCCATACATTTTGCTTTAGAGGTGGTATAAATGGGCCCTAGTGTGGTGACGGCGTGTCACTGGCAGTGTCACTGAAGTGCTTCCTGCCCAGAGTCTGTGGTACATGTTACAAAATCATAGGAGTGTCTCCTCTCCCTCCAAAAATAAAAAATAAAAGCATATGCAGAAATGAACCTCAGTGGCCCTTTGGATAACTTTTGAATGAGGTTTATGTGGCAATGGAGGCAGTAGGTTTGGAGTCAGTGATATGCCCTTTTAGACATTTTCTCTAACTCAGGCGCTACATGTTCCAGGTCAGCCATCTGCAGGATGTTTGCCATTGAGAGAAGAAGAGAGTGTGTGTGCGCACGAGCGTGAGTGTGTGCTTGTGCATGTGTGAGTGCATATCGGTGCAACCCTGGGCTGGGCGTGCACATGCACTTTGGGGAAGGACCTTGAATGTCCCGCTCCTTGTAGTGTTAGTCCCCCACACAAGCCTCAGGACCCTTCATAATGCTTTCTCTCTTCATGCATCAGCTTTTCCCTTTTTGTTCAGATGAAAATGTTGGGTCCTTAAAACACTGCTAAGTGGAAGCTTCATTTGATTTCATAACTGTAAAAAATAAAGAGAAAATGAACAGTTTGACCACTTTCCCCATTAGGATAGTCTGGGAAAATGTGGGGAAGCGGCAAGGGTCAAACAATTGGGGTGAGTCTTCTCTATGGCAAAATGCCAAGTCTGGGGTTTCATCCTTCACCTGAATGTCTCCTCTGGAACGCTCAGGTTTGGTCCCCAGAGTCCCCAGGTCCCCAGATGTGGGGTGACTAGAAATTGAGAACTCATTTGAGAAAATGTTTTTACCTGGAATTTCCTCTAAATTCAAATTCTCTAGCTCCTTTTGTTTTGGCCATTTGCTTTTACTGTGCAGCTGACTTCTGGGTACCCTGACCACCACCTCCCTCCTGTGAATTAGGTCTGGGCAGTTGATCCGAATCCATTTTGGCTCACTGGTCCCATTGTGGTGTGTCTTGTGTGCGCGCCAGTGCATCTGCCTGCTAGGGCCGGTTGTTAATTCCGTGTCTTTCCTCCAGACATCGTAAATCTCACGTTCTTTAGTACAGTTTCCTAGGGCTGAATTTTTCTCTTTAAAACATGGGTATGTCTGGGCTTTAAGCTGCATTCATGTCTTTCCTCGGTCTTTTTAATTTTTCTCTCTTGTTCCTCCCTTTCCTCTAACATTGTACTTTCACCCTGCGGCCTCTGAGCCCCCACTTCAGAAGGCTCCTCCCTTCCATGTGCCATATAACTGACTTCCAAAGCTGGTGAAATTTGATGCCCCCATTTTTCACATAAAAGATTTGGTTTTTAAATGTTACTGTGATGCCAACCTACTAAAACAATGCTTTATTTTGGCTGTAAGGTAAATATGTCTTTTGGCCTTTGTAAAGCTGTTGCATGTGGGGTAATTTCCCTCTGATCATCTGGTGCTCTTGAGTACCTGCTGTTGCTGCTTTGTGATTTCTCCGTAGGCTAAAGACTAGACTAGACACAGGAGCAGATTTCAAATCGTGCTTGAGTATGCAGAAGTTTGTGAGGCCACAAGAACTCGCTTATTACAAAATTAAGAAAGTAGTTAATCTTTCCAGATTTGCCATGCCAATACCCGCGGCAGCCATTAAGAAGATAAAACACCCGGTCGCGACTCCAGTTGGAGCTGTGTTTCCGGGGAGCTGAGGCCTGCACAGAAAGCTGTGCTTTGAGTCTCGACAGTCATCCCTGTTTCTCCTACAGTGTGTGATGTGCCAAATTGAGAATGATTACGGATTTCTGGAGTCCCGTTAGAATATTTATCATGAGCACTGCTTTTGGTATTGAGAATTCATGGCCGCTCACACAAATGAAATTGCTTTCTGAATATCATTCTTCCTGCGACATAGCCATCTTAATTTCGAGTGGAAAATACTAATGATAAAAACATTAGCAATTTCAAAACAGGAGAGGTTTGTGGGTCTCCTCCAAAATGGTTCATGTTGACTGACTAATCTGGAAAAGGTTAATGATCATTACTGTAAGATTTTTTTTTCCTGAAATTTTTATTGGATTATTAAACTTATTTGGAGTCCTCTCCGTTTCTTCTCTCTGTAGGTTTACCCAAGAGAATGGTTCTGTTGCCCGTTATGAAATTCCCAACATATCCTGTTCCCCACTACTCATTCTTTTAGCAAATGACAGAAGCTAATTCCTATTGAACAACAAAACCAGTACAATACAGAATGTTAGAGAAAAAGCCTTTTTATCCTGCTTTCTTTGAACACATACTTGATCAAAATTATTTGTAAAGAACATCTTTCCTACTTTTTGATTTTAACAAATGCAAATTTAGTTCTCTAAAACTTGAAAACAAACAAAAAAGAAACTAGTTCTGTGAAACGGTACCTCATTTCCGGAAAATAACTTATACCAGCCCTTCTGTTCTAGGGAAATAAGTCTAGCAGTTCAAAGTTTAAGTTTTAAGAGGAGTATCAGATTATGTAAAATTAAATTTGTGAAGGATGTATAGAGTCTCAAACACTGATCACAAATAAACTGCTTTGTTGTAACACAGAGTACTGCCTGGTTCCTGATGCAGTCACTGATTCTTAGCTCTGATTGATATGTATTTGCCCCAGGGCACTTGAATTTGGGCTGTAGTTATTTTTTTTAATACAATAGAGACTTTTCATTTAAACTTTAACTTTGTAAATACTGAAGTGTGTAATTAAAGCCAATAAAATATGGGTTTGAATATTGTTTTAGCTTATTATTTTTGATATGTTTTGGTATCAAATTACAAGGAATTGAAAACTAATAATAACTTAGCCCTAGAAACCCATTCATTTGTAAGGAAACTGCTAAAACAAAGCAAAGGCAATTTGTTAGTCTGAGCCAGTCTACTCACTTTGTAAGCCTTTGTACTGCTGGACAAGGGCATCCCCATGATAAAGGTATATTCTGTTATCCAAGCATTGCTTCTTAAAATGATGGCACTACCCAGAGATGGGGAAGGAGGAATGTGATTATTTTAGTTTCCTAATTTCCAAGTTTTAAAAGAGAATAAATTAATCGATCAATCACCCTCTCTTGTTCTTGTGGCCTTCTTCACTCTGTAAGATACTGTGTTCACTTCCCTGGCTTTTTTCATGCAGATAGAAGATTAGCGATTTTTCTGGGATTCATTGAAAGGTCTCTTTTCCTCTTCAATTACATCAGAATCTAAAGCAGCAACAGGGTCCCCATAAAACTTGCTCTTCGATCGTCCCAGTTCTTGTTGAGTGCTGCTGTGAAAAGTGACAGGTTTCAGCCATGGGTCAGCATTTATTTTTAAGTTTTTCTTAAAATTTATCTGATTAAGCTGGTGAAAAATGATCAGTCAATAACATTGTGCTGTCCTATAAAGGGTGCAGACCTGAGCCTTCCCCTGCATTCTCGCCTTGTTTGGAGAGCCGATGATGTTACTAGAAGGTAATGGTTTCATTAAGGTACTCACCCCCATGAAGGCACCAGTGTGGTGTCGTGTCGAGATTTCTAAGTTGCTGTGTCTTAAAAATGTCTGTTCTTAGTATGAATTAGCTTCCCTCTTCCCTCTTAAATTCTGTTTCTCAGAGCCCAGTAGTGGCCATCAGTGAGAATGGGCTTCGCAAAATACAGCAAATTTATGTACCAGATTTCTTTGGGACCACTAAATGAGAATGAGACGGGCAATTTAAAACAAATGTTAGTGTCACTTCTCAGATGTGGATTTATTACACAGTGGCTTGTTACTTCTGCTCCTTGACCTTTAGTCTTTATTAGTGGTGGGTGATACTTTAATAAAACCTCATCACTTGCTAGAAATAGCTGTGAACTTACCATTCTCATCCTGTGCATTAGTGGCTAGACATAAACCTGAGGGCCCATTGCAGCTGGGATTTTCATGTTTCATTGATTCATTTTGCTGACCTATGGATGAAACAGAGCCATCACTGAGAAGAAAAAGCATGGCTGGTAGTGTCCAGTTTTTATTAATTCAATATTTACAATAGTCCTCTCTGTGTTTGGAATACTATTAATTGGCAGCCGCAGCCGGATTGTTATTTGAAATTGATTGTCAAATTTGCATTCCAAGTTGGAATCTCTCTGGAGATTTCTCTTTAGAAAATTCTTTTGAAGTAGCTGACTCAGCTTCATAATTTAACCCCTCTATGATGGTGCAAAGGGAGCTGTGCTGTTTTCCAACATGATGGCAGTCATTTCAAATGGTTTCTACCAAGTCTTTTTTTTTTTTTAATTTTGTTGTTTGTTGGAAGTTACTAACCATGTTGTAAACCTGCCCAGTTGCTGCAAACTTTTACATTTCTCTGCTTTACTTAAAATAATTGAGCTGTCAGTCCTTTGTTAGAAGTGGTAACCATGCAAGTTCAACTGTTGAAATTTTGTAATGAATTAAGTGTCCCCCTCCCCCCCTTCTGCCCTCCCCACCCCCTCCATTTTGTAATGAAAATTCCACTTACAGCTGAAAGAGCAGAGAAATATAAATGAAGCTCTTGGCTTCACCAAATTCTGTGACATTAACACCAAGTGTTGCTTCTCTGCTCTTTTCTCCACTGTAGGCGGTTTTTTCATTGACAGCCCCTATTGCCAGCCTCTGAGCGTCGCACCACTTATTATTCACTTGGGCCCTCAAGATTTCTTCTCTGACTTCTAGAACCATCAGGTTGTCTGGCTTGAAATGGCAATTTCTGTCTTGGTCTTAAGAGCATTGTGACCCCCTGAGGCTTTCCAGCTTTCAGATACACCACTCTGACACCTTCTTTTGGAAAGCAATGACTGAGCATTTTAAAGAAGAGCAATACTTTATTCAAAGCCACGGTGTCTGTTTTAAAACTTTTCCTTTGGGAACCTAGCAATATCTGTACTTAACCCCTCCTAGAGTAGTCTCTTGTCAGGGAGTTTACAGACCACTGTAGAACTTCGACTCCGTGTGTGAGCTGTGCTATCTCCCGACAGTTTTTAGACTTTTGTAGCACATAAATTGGGTAGTTGCATTCCTGACTGCGTCAGTTAGCGCTATTATAATTTCTCAGAGATAGGGGTCCTCCTTGAAGCCATATTCTTTGCATGGGGGCTGGCGCCCAGCCAGGGATGCGGCCTGCAGCTCCGGTCTCTTCCGGCGGCAGGACCACCTCCTCTCTTGTGCAAGGTCATTGGTCCAGTAGATTCCCGACATACCTCATGCTGACTAGATGCAGTGCATGGTGCGTGCAGCAAGGGGTCCCGAGTCGTTTGTAGTCTCTCTGAAACCGTTAACCTGGGAACAAACCACTGGTAGATTTTTCTATTAGCCTTTCCTTCTTTTTTTAAAATTCGGGTGAATGTTTGAAAATCATGAATCAGTCAGTCACCGTTATTAATTGAAGAGCTGGGAATACCTCGTTAATGTATTTTTAAAACTGGTGTTGGACCCTCTGTGTATTTCAGGTTAATACTTTTAAGCAGTTTTCAGCACGTTTATCTCACTTTATTCTCGTTCTCCTCGGACCTTCGTAGCCATATCACTTGTATAAAATAGGCTGAGATCTAGTGACTGTAAGCTGTGGTCTCAGTAAACAAAGGTAAGCTCTTTTATTTTCTGATTAAAGAGAAAAATAACTAAAAGTCAATGAACACAACGTGCATATATGACAATCATACAGGATGTATTTGATCTCTTAGGTCTTATGTCATCATATTACCTTTAAAATTTTTATGATCTAAATGTAAAATAGTTATTTTCAGCGTTTGTTTTAATACCCTTGTAATTACTTTTTATTCAAGAGAGACATTTCACCTTTACGAGTTAAATGTGTATATGTGTGTAGAAACTTACGTATTACATGTATGTGAATTACACACATGGACCTGTTTAAATAAAATAATTCAGTGGTGGGAAGAGTTCACCTGAGAAGACTTTAATGTCAGGGCACTCTTTTGGCCAAAGTGCTGGAATTTTATAAGCCGCGAGGTTGGTAACATTGCCGGTAGGACCCATTTACGCGTAGCTGTTACACAAACGGAGGATCAAAGTGCCAATTTCTCAAGGAGAGAAATTTTTCTGAGAAATGAAAATCTCTGATCTGTGTTGTATGCCCTAATACAACAGCAGCAAGAAGCCATAAAAAGAAAAAGCAATAGAAAACAAAAAAACCAAAATATTAAGGTAACTATGGAAGAATATGTAATTGACTGAGTTAAGCTATTCGTAGAACCAACTTTGGCAAGACTCAGAATGGTAAATACCCAGTCTGCAGAGACCAAATAGACGGAAGGCAGTTCGTCTGTCTTTTCCAGGTTAGGCAGCTAGACGATTGATTTCCCACCTGACTCAGCCATCATGGAGTTCATTTAAAAGATGGGAGGGTTAGGCCAAATATTTTAGTAAGGGTTTGCTTCATTTAGTGTGTCCCATAAATACATTTCATATGTGTTAGATGTTCTTTGCTGAGGCCATATTTGATATATAGAGATTAAAATGAATTTCATGTTTTATATGTCTCTAAGTAGCAGTTTTCTTGTTATTACTAACTTTGAAGGTTGCTGGAACATTTTTTCCCCTTACAAAATCTGTATTATGTCGAATGTGGTTTTGGCATCTATATAAGGTTGTATGAGGTCTAGCTGACTAGTACTACATACATTCCAGTCCTTATCGAGCAGCTGAGGTGCCCATTATGTGCCAGGTCCTTCTCTGGGTACTAGCGAAACAGTGTCTCTGCCCAGTGAAAACATTTCAAGTTCGAGAGTCTCCTTGTTGGTGGAATTGGGCCGATTATAAACTTCCTAGGGTGGGAGACAAATGATGCATTAGCAGTGTCAAAAGATAATTAACTTGGTTAGTAGTTTATAAATTATTTAATAATGTAGGCCCTCTGATATCACTGAACTGGCCTGGCCATCATTTGGAAGTTCACTTATTTTAAATATTTCCCTGGCACTTTTGAGAGCCTGAAACCAACTCTGGTTTATGTTCATGGCCCTCTCTCCAAGTAAGTGAATGGAATGAAACGAAGAACAAATACTCCAGTCCTTTAAAGCAGTTTGTATAGTATAGCAGAGACCAAAGTGGTTGCTTTAAACACCGACACCATTTTTTCGATGACAAGTGAGGGGAGTTTTACCCTTATAATCATCATTCATTATAACTTACCTGTTTGTTAGATTTCTTTAATCACTGCAGTGGAGGCAAATCTTCAGTAGTGAGTTAGGGGAATGAACTAAGATTTGCAGATGCGCCCCCACCCATTCCCCCCAGCAGTTAGATTTCTAGCAATCTAGAGCCCGAGGAACTAGGGACATTAGGAGCGGTTAAAGCTGCTCTGTGAATGGTCCTCCGGTACCTCCCACTCAGCACAGGCCGGTGCGTCTTGGGGGCGGTGGGGTTAGGGGGAGCAGGGGGCAGGGTCTCTCTGAAGTCCTCAGAGCAAGAAACGTCCTGCTGTATTTGTACTTGCAAACTATAAGGATCTGATGCCATGCAGTGACCAGAGGTTTCTCAGTGTTACTAGGAGGCCTGGAAGGGAGACAGGTAGCGAACGAGTAACGGCCAGAGTTAAGTTACTGCCTGCTGCTGGGATGCGGTGCAGCACGGATGTCTCCAGCGGGAGCTTACAGAGCGCACGCCAGTACTTCTTACGTAAGAAGCTGTCTCTTCCCTTCCTCATCCCATCTTCCAGAGAGGCGGTTTTAAGTCGCGAACTGAAGTTGAGTTAGCTGTAAGAATAGATACCCTTTCCCACGTTATCATTTTAGGTAGGAGCTAACAGCTTCCATTGATACTTGATGCAGTGATCTTTGGAGATTTTTTTAAAAAATAGCTCCATACTGCAAATTAGGTTATGTAAGCTTTACAGCATAGCTAGAAATAGGGAGTAGAAACCATGTGGGAATCTGGGCCAAAGCGTTTCTCTCCCTCCAGCAAATTCCCATGAGGCTTGGGGATTAGATGAGTTAATTCACGTAAGGTGCTTGGAATAGTACCTGGTGCACAGTAAGTACTCAGGAAATGTTGACCGCTCCTATCACGGTCGGCTGAAGGGACGGAAGGTGTGTGAGGGAGGCAGCAAGACTGTGCTGGCGGGTCGGGGAGAAGCCAGTGCATGGCCTGCTCAGGGGGAGCTGCACTGGTTCCTTGGTATTTATAGGTCTGGGGTGCTTCCACACTGTGAGAGAGGACCCCTGGCATCTGGGGACTAAACAGGAAGCATAAAGCAAACACTTAGCGGGAGAGGTAGTGTGGGGAGGTCGCTGCAGATCCGTGCTGGCTGAAAATGTCGCGTTTCTGGGGTGGTGGTGAAATCACCGGCCGGTCTCCTGCCAGGGACTTGGAAATACTTGCTTAGGGATGTAAGTGTGCTTAGAACTTCAAAAGGGCTGAGCTTAGAATATCACCGGCTGATTCCAGCTTTCTCCCCAGTGCATTAATAAGAAAAAGAGGTGTGTGATTGCAGCTAGCATGGGAAGCCAACATCCAGAGCTCGCCAGTGTTTGGCAGGTAGAAAGCAAGTTGTTATAAACCACAGAAAGAGGAGCCTGGGTGGCAAGCCTAGAAGGCCACGGACTTCTCTAGAAGTCAGTCTAGAAGGCCGATGCTTCTCTGCACAGCATTCCTGCAGCGTCTCTCTCCCAGTCCGCTTCAGCGCTTTGGAACAAACTGGCACTCGTCACCACATGAGGCCTCCCGGGTGTGTGAATCTTAGAAAAAACACGTCTGCCTGTCCATCCCATCTCCTTCTTTTTTTGGAAAAGGAAAGATGGGTAGATGGTCAGATGGGTGCCGTCGGTTATACAGCTTCTGGTCTCCTCCTGTGCAGGCTTTGGTTGCCCTAAGGAAGGGTGGGCAGGAGCGTGCGTCCCTGTCTGTGAGCAGGTGGTACTGAACGCTCGGTGGGGATTACAGACTGAGTTCTTTTTTTTTAGGTTGAATTCTGTGACACTCTAAGTTTATAAAAACTGTGTAGACAGGGACTGAGCATTACCTTTAAAGGCAAATAAGACAGGCTTGCACGATAGTCAAGAGGGTTTTTTTTTTTTTTTTTCTTTTAATTGTACCAAAGGCATTCATTGTTTGCAATGGTAAGTGAAAGAGGAGGGGACTCAGCAGCCCCCAGCTCCAGGGGAAACTCCAAAGACCTGCTCTCTCACTGCAGCCCCAAAGCGGAAGGCTCTTCTTGACTCCAAGAGCTACTCCTATAACTAACGTCCTGGCAGAAGCCACCGCGTGCCCCAGCTGTGGCTGTTTGGAGGAGCCACTGCCTCAATGAGCCAAGACTGAGGGAGGCCTTTCTTTCCTTTTTTCTTTCCTCCTCTCCCTGCCACCACCCCGCCCCCCGCCTTGACCAGTCAGTTTAACTTGGTCCTTCTAAGGAGGGTCTTGGTCTTGGCAGAACTTTGCCTTTTCTGCAGACTGCGCTGCCTTTGCTGGGGTATCGTCTGCCCAGGCAGCTGGAGGGAGGCCGGCTAGCACGTCCCAGCCGGAGGGGTATGGCGGTACCTCCTTGGCTGCTTCTGGTCCACAGAAGGTAACGGTAGCCTGGCTGCGGAGCGGGCATTCTCTTAGCACGGCCTCAGGGCCGGTCTCTCAGTCTTGGTCTGGTTTCACCTACCGTGATCCTGCGGAAGGTTGGGAAGAATGGTCTCCGCCTTACCTGTCAGCTAAATGTTTTCAGGGAGTGAAGGCAGTAATAGCCTTCCGTTTAAGTTATTTTGGGCTGTGGGCAGCGGCAGATTGAAGGAACAGAAGAAAGAAAAGGAAGAAATGCTCAAATTGCTCTCTTGTGTGGGCCAGGCACTCAGACATTCTTCTCCAACAAGCTTCTTGGAGGTAGGATTCTTGTTTTACAACAGAAGAGACCGAGGCTCGGAGTTAAGCACTAGAGTTAGGAATGAAACCCCAGTGTGTGATGCTAAAGCCCCGTTCCGTCACGCCATGCGCGCAGTGGGTGCCGTCTGGACCAAGGTGATGGGAGCACTGTGTGGCAGGAAGGAGGTGGGCAGGCAATGGGCCGGGTCGATCGGGGCCTCCGGGACACAGGGCCTTGAGCTCAAAGGCTCCTGTGCTGAAGCCAGGCTCTCTTACTTGAGGTTGTTGTGGACCAGATATCCTGGGCTTTTAGGGCTATTTTCTGTTAGACCAATTGGATAAGGTTGTTTAATAAAATGGAAAGATAGGCTAGAAGACTAAGGTGTGGCTGCATTTTAAACAAAGGAAGCTGTTGTACTTCAAGCTTGTTTTTTCTGTTTGAATATCAATGAGCACTTGAGGTCTTTGCTTGCATTTAGCTAATGGTTTGTTTATTGGTAATGGGAGTGCTTAGAAGACTTGAGCCTGGTGAGGTTTTGAGTTATGGGGTAAAAGGAAGAGGAGCCCAGGGTGCTAGCAGCCCAGGTTTGAGGGGTCCTGGGGGAGTGGCAGGGGGCAGTCGCCTGTCCTGATCAGCAGGACTTTCCCAGTCGAGGCTTCAGGACAGGCTGCCAGCCTGAAGGTAGCAGGCAGGCCCCCTGCCCCAACCCTGGTTGGGCTGTGACTTGGTGATCCCCACTGGGGTGGCTTGGAGGTCTTGTGAGCCACTCTGCCGCCCTTGTCCCTTCTCCCATTGCTACACACCCGGCTGCTGGCTCCTTTGCTGATGATGGCCACTTGGGTCTCTGCCTGGGTATGGAGACCGAATCCTCTCCGGGGCAGAACGGTTCTCCCTCACCACAGGGCACGGTCCTTGGCAGTAGGCCGTTTCTCCGTGCCGTCTGCCAGGATGCTGGAGGGGAGCAGGAAGAAGGAACCGTTTTAAACCCCGGTTGCCTGAGTTCAGAACAGTGACTTGTGTGTGAGCAGGGTGAGCACCTGTCCCAACGCTCCCTTAGCGGTTCTTTCCCAGGGGCCGCGTCCTGCGCCGCTCCTGCGGTTTGGAGAAGCCGCGGTGCGTGCTTCGTTTCCACCGTGCAGACGGGGACGCGGAAGCCCACAGACCTCGCCAAGCCACCCAGCTTGTTTGTGGCCAAACACCGTGGCTCCTAATAAGTGAGTTTTTTAACCACACAGAAGAAATAACATGTCTTCCACTGTTTCTGGAGTTAACAGAAGCCCTTAGAGATGAGATTTAAATTACACCACAACTGTGGGATCCAGAAATGATCTCCTTTTACAGATGAGGAAATGGAGGCTTAGCCACAATGACCTGCCCCAAATTACATAGCCCTGCCACCGGCTCCGCTCGGCTCCGCTCGGCCCAGCTCGGCCCCCCGGCCTGATAGCACTCACCGTGTGCGGTACTGGTGGTTTGTGTCCCTGCAGGGCGCTGCTGCCCGCTCCGTTTTCCAAACGCCGGGCTGCCGGTTCCCCTCGGCGCTGTGATGCCTTCCACGGACCTCCCTTCCAGCTCCTGGAGTAGATCCCTTGTGGTTGGAAACAAAATAAGCAGAAACCTACGCTCCCCCTCCTTCCCTTACCCCCTGCCATGTGCGGAGAAAAGGGTCCCGACTCCAGGCTTACTGGT